TGTGTGTTGTTTGCCTAATCGGGGAATAATCCGAGCCGAGGATGGCTCGTTCTTAACAGAAAGGGAGGGGGGGGGGGGGTAATGTAGAGGATGTTTGGAACATTCTCACACACAAACACCACACAACCATGGGATAAGGGTCACGGGAGCAGGGGTTAAGTGTCAAGGGAGCGCGGGTTAAGGATCATCATTGAGTGGAGGATACTGATCGGATTGGCCCCCATAAGGATTAGCAGTAGAACGTTAAGCCCGAGAAGGGAATGAGTGTTAGATAAGGGCGGGAAACGGGCTATATAAGAGAGACGATTTGGAGGGTTCGAGGTTGGTTTTCGATGAGTGGAAGCACGGTTTGAGGTGCCTTGGGGATAAAGATCCTGCTTAAACTTTTTCAAGTCTCCTCTTCACTAATATTCATTAGTGTTGGTGTACACATACTAATATTCGTTAGTATCTGTGTACACATACTAATGATCATTAGTGAATAATAATTATTCATAATAATAGTACTACACTAATATGACCATGGGTGTGTGAGCAGTGGTAGTGAACAGTGGTGATGATGCCAGCACCACGATGTTAATACCACTCTCACAGCGTCTCTCTACAAACACGACCTCGCATACTCACATCCACACACTGCCATTGTGTGTCACTCTGCTGCTGGAAGAGCGCCTCCCCACGCCGTGTGCACCCTGGGGGAGTTATTTGACCATACTTCACCACTCTCGTCGGTGCATGTTGGCGATGGTGGGGATAGTGAACGTAGAAGCATAGAGGTACAGTACAACAATGGTTCACGCTGCACTGCCCTCTGCTGGTGTGATGTGTAAACATTCGACGCGAGGGAGACAAAGGTGGCCAGGCGTGGTGCTGGCCACCCACCCCCTCGTGTGCCCTGACGGCCTTCATAGGTGCTCGCTTACAGCACTTGCCCCTGTACTGTGCTGTATGGTTTAGCAGAATATTAAAACTTCGATTTAAAGCTTTCGTGACTGCAATGATTCATCTTCTTTGGTTATTTCGGTAAAGTCACGTAGAATGAGAATAAAATAATAAATTGATAAAATAAAATAACACAATAATATTCTCACGACGTTTCGGCCACAACACAAGCGGCCTTCATCAGGTAAGGGACGAGACTGTCTGGTAGGACAGTGCTGGAGTGAAAGAGCCACGTTCAGATCACGACCTTTAAGCTGTGTGAGAGGAAACAAAGCGCCTTGACAAAGGAATTAGCATTGAAATGGCTGAGTGATTAGCTTGTGACTGGTCACCGAAATAGCTATGTTAAAAGTTAAAGCATACACATCCGCAGAGGCACCCCTTGACAAAGGAATTAGCATAGAATTTAGCATTGAAATAGCTAAGTTAAAGCATACACATCCGCAGAGGCACCCCTTGACAAAGGAATTAGCATATAATTTAGCATTGAAATAGCTGAGTGATTAGCTTGTAACTGGTCACAGAAATAGCTATGTTAAAGTCAGAGCATACACATTCACCGAGGCACTTAGTACAAATCAAACAGGAGACTTTAGCATTGAAATAACTAGGCGAATTTTGCATTGAAATAACTGAGTGATTAGCTAGTGACTGGTCACAGAGATGGCTATGTTGAAGTCAAGGCCTACACATCTGAGCTATTCACAGTACTATATAGTGAACCAATAAAAAAAAACTAAAATATAAATTACCTTAATGTTATCAATAAACTCTATATTCTCCAATCAGCTAAGCTACCAACAATAAGTCGTTATATATCACAATGCTATATGGCGAAAAAATGGGTGGATTGTTACCCTCAACTTTAGCAACACGGATAGCTACGGGCCCCGTTCATACGAACGAGTTCATCCATGGTCGGAACAGAGGAGGGGGAGAGAGACAGCTGCGAGGCGCTATTATACTCCATGTTGTAAACGATACCATTAACCGTGGTGTGAGAGGTATTAAGATTCAATGCTGGCGAAAGAGCTGCGGTCTGAAGGTCATCGTAAAAATACAATTAATTAAGAACAGAAATGGTTTAAAACATCTTTCCAATGGTTACTAAGCGAGAATCCATCTTCTCGGTTGAATTTGTCTCTGTGCTTGTATATGTGAATGGCCTCATGAACAAATCTCTCATGGTAGCCGGTTGGTTTGCAAAGAACCTCCGTCTTGGAGAAGTCAATGTCATGTGAGCCCACTGAATTATAACAGTGATCTGTCACGGCAGAGGAGTTCGTCCTACCGTGTTTCAAGTCTGCTTTATGTTCGAGGATGCGGTACGAGATATGTCGTTTGGTTTCTCCAATGTAGCTACTACCACAGAGGCACTTTAGTTTGTAAACGCCGGGTACTGTATGTCTGAAACAGCATTTTTTACAGATGGAACTAAATCACGGATTTTATGTACTGTGTTGAATCGGACCTGGATCTTGTGTTTATTCAGGATTTTGGAGATCTTTTTAGTGACCCCTGCAATGTAGGGTATGGTGATGGTTTTGATTGGCTCCACAAGAGGATCCTTCTTCATGACTGGAGTGATGGCTTTGCGGATTGTGTAGTCGGAGTAACCATTAGCCCTGAGAGCCTGGTGTACGTGCTTGAGTTCACTGGTAATGTGTTCCTGGTCGGAAATGCATTGGCCTCTATGGTATAGAGTCTTGATGAGGGAGTTCTTCTGGGATGGATGGTGGTGGGAATCCGGTTTCAAGTAAGCATCTGTATGGGTAGCTTTCCTGTAGACAGAGTGGCTCATTGAACCATCATGTCTCCTTTTAATTAAGACATCCAAAAAGGGTAGTTTGCCATCTTTTTCGACCTCCATGGTAAATCTGATGGCTGGGTGTATGGAATTGATGTGGTCGCGGAATTGGTCTAGAGCAGGCTGGCCATGTGGCCAGATGACAAAGGTGTCATCAACGTACCTCTTCCATAAGGTCGGGCGTAGAGTGCCAGTCTGGATGGCGTCAGTTTCAAGTTTTTTCCATGAATACGTTGGCTACAACCGGAGATAGGGGAGAGCCCATTGGGGTGCCCTCAGTTTGTTTGTAGAAAGTTCCATTCCAGGTGAAGTATGTGTTGGTTAAGCAATGTCTCACCAGGGGGGGAACATCAGTATGCAGTCCTTGATGAACCAGGTCTTCAATGATAGCGATGGTGTCAGGTACCGGGACTTTGGTGAACAAGGACACCACATCAACACTGACAAGCAGGTCGTCTGGGGACAGGGAAATGCCTTTGATTGTTGATACCAGGTGAGTAGAATTTAATACCGCAGAGGTGTTTTTTCCAGTGAAAGGTCGCAGTATATCAGCAAGAAAACGTGCCAGTTTGTAGGTGGGGGAGTTGATAGTAGAGACGATGGGACGAAGGGGTGTATCTTCTTTGTGTATCTTTGGAAAGGTCATATAATCTTGGTGGTCTGGCAGCAGAGGGTTTCAACGAGAACTGTTTTATCTCATCAATTAATGCTGTTGAATCAGGGATGATTTTGTTCGTTTTGGTGACCAGGCTGTTGGTGGGATCTCTTTTTATTTTTGTATAGCTGCCATTGTTGAGTAGTTCTTGAATTTTGTTGTCATATTCTGTTTTGTCCATGATGACAGTGGCATTGCCCTTGTCGGCTGAGAGGACGACAATATCATCTCTCTTTTTTAATTGATATAATTCAAAACGTTCGTCTTTGCTGATGTTGCTGGGTGGCAACTTAGCGTTTTTGAGGGTTGCAGCGATTTCAGATCTTGCTACGTCTGCAGAGATGTGACTCAAGCCCTTGAGTGCAACGTCGACATGGGCAATGATATCATTAACTGGTAAGTGTCTCGGTGTGACAGCAAAGTTTAGACCTTTAGCTAAAACGGATTTCAGACCATCAGAAATGGAACTGTTACTCCCCCTCCTGTTACTCCCCCCCTCCTCTGTTCCGACCATGGATGAACTCGTCCGTATGAACGGGGCCCGTAGCTATCCGTGTTGCTAAAGTTGAGGGTAAGAATCCACCCATTTTTTCGCCATGTAGCATTGTGATATATAACGACTTATTGTTGGTAGCTTAGCTGATTGGAGAATATAGAGTTTATTGATAACATTAAGTAATTTATATTTTAGTTTTTTTTATTGGTTCACTATATAGTACTGTGAATAGCTCAGATGTGTAGGCCTTGACTTCAACATAGCCATCTCTGTGACCAGTCACTAGCTAATCACTCAGTTATTTCAATGCTAAATTCGCCTAGTTATTTCAATGCTAAATTCTCCTGTTTGATTTGTACTAAGTGCCTCGGTGAATGTGTACGCTCTGACTTTAACATAGCTATTTCTGTGACCAGTTACAAGCTAATCACTCAGCTATTTCAATGCTAAATTATATGCTAATTCCTTTGTCAAGGGGTGCCTCTGCGGATGTGTATGCTTTAACTTAGCTATTTCAATGATAAATTTTATGCTAATTCCTTTGTCAAGGGGTGCCTCTGCGGATGTGTATGCTTTAACTTTTAACATAGCTATTTCTGTGACCAGTCACAAGCTAATCACTCAGCCATTTCAATGCTAAATTAAATGCTAATTCCTTTGTCAAGGCGCTTTGTTTCCTCTCACACAGCTTAAAGGTCGTCATCTGAACGTGGCTCTTTCACTCCAGCGCTGTCCTACCAGACAGTCTCGTCCCTTCACCTGATGAAGGCCACTTGTGTTGTGGCCGAAACGTCGTGAGAATATTATTGTGTTATTTTATTTTATCAAGTTATTATTTTATTCTCATTCTACGTGACTTTACCGAAAGAACCAAAGAAGATGAATATTAAAACTGTTAACCTAATTTTTCTATCACCAGGTAAAGCCCACTGAGTTATGTCGCTCTCTTTCAGAGTTTTCATCTCTCTCCTCTTGGTCGTGTGGATTTTTCTCTGATCCCTCGCGTTTTTCCCTCCAAATTTAGCATCAATTTGCATTCAAGGTATTTTGCTGCTGCTATAAATATCCACGTGATAAGCCACTTTGTTGGGCTATCATTTGTGATTCATTTCGCTTCTGAAAAAAGAGCAACATGGTTCAGTGGGTTTCTTACCTGTAAAAATAATAATAAAAGTTAATGAAGGTGGGGAGCACGTAAGTTTAGCGCAACATAGTGGGACACGCGGGTGCAAGACTGAGGAACTCACAGGCGAGAGGCAGGAGTCTGTGCATGACCCTTTCAAGGGAGCGGATCGTGGTGACGTCCAGTGAAGTGTGAGGTGGGGGTGCAGATTCCTTTGGGATCTCTCTCCTGGGACACACAGCCCGTGTCTCACACACAGTCAGTGTCTCACAAACAGCCATCATCTCATACAACCTGTGTCTCACACACAGCCCGTGTCTCACACACAGCCAGAGTCTCATAGAAAGCCCATGTGTCTAACACACATATCCAGTGTCTCACACACAGCCCCGTGTTGAGTGTTTAATCGTGAGGCATTAAGGATCTGTACCTTCGCGTCTCCTCCAGGTGCCCCTGTGGAAGAGAGAGAGAGATCATGAGTGACGTCTCTACCCATGCACCACGAGTCCCTCTGCCACTGCCCGCTCTGCTGTTCTGGACGCCCAAACGGCGTCTCCCCAGAGGCGCTCCCCACCTGCAGGAAGGCGAGCGAGTCCCTCTCGTGCAGCAGAGCGCGCAGGCGAGCGCCCGCCGCCTGGAGCTCGCTGATCTCCCGCTTCTGACGAGCTATGTCCTCCTCAATCTGGGACAGCAGCTCGCGCTCCTTCACGGCCACGCGTTGGAGAGCCTCCCTCTCGTCCTCGTCCAGAGCCTTCCTTAGGCGGGCGAATTTGCCCGTGATGCGACCCCTGATCCCAGCCACCGATTCCTGTGGAGAAGCGGGGACCTCGGTTGATTCCTTGAGCCATGAGCCACTCCGTGTGTGCGTATTGGCGCCGTGGTGGCTAGGAAATGTTGACTCCCTTGCCTGGTATAGAGGAGGTCGGGGTTCATTTCTGACCCTGATGCCTGTATATTTGTAGTTTGTGTGTTCGCTCTGTGGTTGTGTGGATCCTTATCTGGGTCCCCTGGTTTTTACCTCCACATTAAGAATCAACGTCGCGTGTTCAGATTATTTGGCTGCCATCAATTTAAACGTTACAATCAGCCATTTTGTTGAGCTATCATTTGTGATTGCCAGGTCGCTTCTGAAAAAGAGCTACACAGCTCAGTGGGCCTTACTTGGTAAAATAATGAAATATTATTCCCTAGTGGTGAATCATGCCCCAGTGACGAGGCGCCCATGGGACTGAGTCGATCCATGCCAAGGGGGCAAGAGGGGCGCCGCTCTCTTCTTGCTTCTCCCCTAGAGGGCGCTGGGGTCGTGGATGTTGAGATTCGGGCACTCGGAGTCCGGTGGGGGGCCCCCTCGTGGATCCTACGAGATGTGGCGAGATGTGAACTACTTCGCCTGGTTGACAGGGGTTGTGGGTTGACTCACGACGTTGGTGCCTGCTTAGAATACAAATCAAACGTTCAGAGAGTTTGGCTGCTGCAATAAATTCCACGTGATGATAGCAGCCACTTTGTTGAGCGAAATTTTTTAATAGCCAGGTCTCTTCTGAAAAAGAGCTGCATAGTTGAGTGGGGCCTTTCCTTGTAAAATACAGATGTAGTTTGAATAGACTCCACAGACGCGATTAGGGACGATGCGTGGTGCAGCTGTGCGATGTTAGCGCCTCTGTGTCCATTCCGGTGCAGGACCTCCTGTGCAGCGCAACTGCTGCACCACAGCTCCACCCCGACAATCCGTTGCACTCTCTACATCTTTTTTGCCACAGGAGTGGAAGATGCCAAGCTGAATAACCCGACCTCGCGGCAGAATCGCCAATGCAGCTATTGAATGTGGCACACTTGCAACCCCACTGTAGTTAATGTTGAGTTTGAAAGTGAATGATATGGTTATAGTAAGAGGCATCAAAGTTAGGAAGCTGCACAAAAATTCGCTAGAATGCATTTTGACCTCCACGACTTCCACACTGGGTGGAGTCAGACCCGGACACGGTACCTGCGCCTCCTTATGAGCAGCCTCCATCCGCTTCATGGACTTCTTCGCCTTCTTCCTCTTCTTCTCCACCGTTCGCATCTCCTCCCCTATGTGCGTCTGTAGTGAGAGACGAGACGTCACCAGGGGAAGACTCCAGCCCCCTGATCCACCCCTCAGAACGCCCTTCCTTCCACACCGACCCCACCACAGCCAAGGCCCTCATCTCCACTCTGCCTCTCTACAGCGACTGAGAGGGGGGGGGGTGGAGATTGGGAGTGGGCAAACTGATGCTGGTGGGAGCCATACTGGCTTGGTGTCCGTACCGACTCGGACTCAAGGGCCATATGCCCACAACTGTCTAGTTTATAAGATAAATCTAATATAATTGTTTGTCAGGTGGCTATGATATCAGTCTCAAATCTCTGTCCACTTATTTACTTCATACAGCAATTATGTTTAATGAAAGACTAGGATTCAATAAATCTTGAGGCTCCTTCCTGAAATGCAAACCCGAAGATTAGCTACACAGGCAGAGAGACAGAGATTCAAAAGGGAGAGCAGTAACACACGATAGTTTTTTTTCATCAGATGTTGTGCAGCCGAGTTACGGAATTTGTCAGATCGTGTTGCGGTGTATCACTCCGAGGGCCTCACCTTCCGTGTCTCGTGCTCGTTCTTCAGCGTGGTGACATCATGTCCTTTGTGTTCACCTGCGATGGTGCAAGTTGAGCAGACCAGACTGCTGTCTACTGTGCAGTAGAATTTCAGCTCCTCACTGTGCTCAGGGCATCTTCGCTCATCCAAGCTCGTAGTGGGATCCACCACGGTGTGGTCTTTCAACCTGGGATTCTCCACATGAGGCTTGTAGTGGGAAAAACAGAAGGACATCTCGCATCTCAGGCAGGTCTTCACTGCAGGGGTCTGGCCGTCACCACAGATGTCACACACGACGGCCGCGGCCATCCCGTCTCCAACTCTGAGCTGCTCCGCCAGGTTGGCGAGGGCCACGTTCCTCCTCAGCTGGGGTCGCACGGGGAAAGCCGTTCGGAAACTGCGGGCAGCTGAAGCTGCTCACCGTCTCCCAGGCGGCCTCCAGGCACTGCAGGCAGAACGAGTGTCCACAGCTCAGCGTGGAGGGGCAGACGAACGTGTCCAGTCAGATGGAGCAGCGCAGCTCACTATCCACACTCTCACTGGGAGTCGCTCTCGCCATGACCCATGGCTTCGCTGGGATCGCTCGCTGTGTGGCTCAGAGAGACATTGGACCAGGACCTTTCTCTTATAGCGTCGGTGGAGAATAAAATAAAAAAAAATATTTTCATTGTCGTCATTGACATCACGAGACACTCCCTGGAATGTGAACCCCTGCCCCTAGGTCCGCAAACAACAGCCTCAAGGTGTACACACCTCCCTAGATCTAAATAATAGAGCTTTGTTGTCAATATAAGTCAGAGAGACTCAGCTGCGATGGTCAATTTATGAGATGAGTAAAGAGAGATAAACGTATTCTTCCGCAGCTGAGGGCGCGGTGTTGTACCACTAGCGCTGCACTACAAACACAAAAGATTCCTGAGTTTGATTCCCACTCACGTCCATCACCCCCACTATTGGTAACAATTATCTGAATCAGTTCTAGGCCTCATCCCCTAGTTAAACTCAGCTTAAAATGTGTACTTGGTGCAGTGTTTTGTAAACATCACCACAGGGGAGAAAGAGGCGGCCGTGGGTGGTGCTGGCCACCTACCCCCTCGTGTACCGTTCCGGCCTTCATAGGTGCTCGATAACAGCACTTGCCCCTACAGTCTGTTACAGGCTATATGGGAGGATCTTTGTCTTTTTTATATGCTTCTGCGTGTCTATAATATGTGAGTGTGTCTGTGTGTGTTTCTCTGTAGTAGGAATCGAGAGTGCAATGGTTAGCGTGTTGCCCTACAAAACCGGCATCCAGAGTTCGATTCCTGCTTACGGCCAACACCATTGACGATTATCTATATCAGTCCTAGTCCTCCCCTAGGTTGACTCAGCCTTAAATTATTACCTGGTGTGATGTGTAAACATCGCCACTGGGGAGAAAAAGGTGGGCGGTGCGTGGCGTTGCCCACCCACCCCCTCGTGAGCCGTTCCAGCTTTCATAGGTGCGTGTTAACAACATTTACTCCAAGTCTTTGAAGGATATATGGGTGGTCTTTGTGTTGTATGTGTGTCTGCGTGTCTCTAGTCTGTTATTCTCTGTGTTTAGTATTGTATATTCTTCTCTAGTTCTTCAATCTGTGTGTGTATCTGTGAGTAGTACTGCACAGTATATACTTGTGTGTCCCCAGTCAGTGTGTCTGTGTATAAAACTGTAAATGCTTTTGAATGTCTCCAGTCTGTATGAGTCTATGCGGCTAGTACTGCACATGCTTCTGTGTCTCCTGTGTGTGTGCCTGTGTGTAGTACTGCACATACTTGTGCCTCCAGTGTGTGTCTGTATGTGGGACTGTACATGTTTCTGTGTCTCTTTGGTCTGTGTCTCTGTGTGTAGTTTTTGCATGCTTCTCTATGTCTCTAATACTGCGCCCCCATGAAATACATCTCGAGGTAGCAGAACAAACAGGTAGTTGAGATGTTTTCTGAGTAAGGAAGTGATAAGCTAAGGTATATGATGTTCAACACAATCGTGTATAAAGTGTGCAATAATAAAGTAAATTAACAAACAAATAATAAGTTGAGACGACTATTTTTTGTGCCACATCATTTCAGTTATTCATAAGCAATCTCAAAATATCGTCTTCAATTCAGTCTTCAATTTATTATTCGTAGGTGTACTATTGATACGTATAGGTAAGTTGTCCCAGAAGTTTTTACCCCTGCAAGTTGATAGCGGTAGATAAAGGATACCATGGACGTTACACTTAAGTTGGACTCTGAACCTGACCTGCACTGTACTAAACACGTGGCATGGATGTATTTGGTCAGCTTATTAACTGGCATAAATGTGGCCACGGTGCGTGACATCGAAATAAATCCTCCATCGAGAAGTTCACCAATGCGAGCCAAGAGGATCTCATAATGCTCACGCCTCATCCAACATCTCCACTACCTGGCAAGATTGCCCCGTTTGCAAATGTTATATTGACACATGGCCAACGAAATTATCAAATATTTGACCAATCATGTTGTTTTAATCATACTTTTTATATTGTCTCTTAACTGTGATTTTTGTAATGTTTAAATGTAAATTTTAATGTTCGGTGAGAAACATTAATATTTGCTGATCACCAATTGCCCATGTGAAAAGTGGGTGAGGTATTTCCCAATCCTGACCAGCTGGCTCAATAAACTTAAAAAGCTAATGAACATAGAGACTTATAGAGGTACAGATAGACTCCTAAAGATGCATAGAGATAGAAACACAGATACTCGTATAAATTATGACATAGAGACTCATAGCGATACATAGAGACTCATATAGAAGTTATGTCCAATTCTGGCTAACTGGCCAGAATTCACCGATGGCGTGAGAATTTTCACGACCGAGTTTAACACCAATATACAACGTGCTTCTCTCAGACTGTGTAGAGCGTCTGCAGCTACAGTTTATCTGGAAACCGTGTGGGCTGATTCAGGTGACTGCACTTTAATTACCCCTCTGTAACATAATAAACTTTCAAAGATTGGGCATTTTGGTCCATAAATGACGTCACGCGATTATGGACGATTTTTATATTCCCCCCCCCTCGTCACATGGCGTCACAAAAGGTCAGACCCCCCTCAAATATGACGTCACAAAACTCTGCCTCCCCCCCCCAAAAAAAAACATGCTTCAAATCGCTTTAAACTATTGTCTTTGTATTGCGTATTTAATGTGGCGCTGCACTCTGATGTTGTAGGAGAAAGCATTTATTAAAAAGTATATTTAATTAAGTAGAACGTGTCTATATTTAAAGTTGCGCATTTTGATGTGACATCACATTTCTCAAACCCCCTCGTCACATATCGTCACAAATGTCTAACCCCCCCCCCCCCCCCCCAGGTGCGTGACGTCATTTATGGACGGCCACTAAATGGGTCATTTCCATGAATTCGCAATTCTGGCCCAGACTACTTTTTATATGTTGATTATTTATTTCATTAAAATGGACACCTGGTGCAAATGGGTCGGTGTGTTGCTTTCTTAATGGTTTTGCTTAGTGCGATTATCAGACTATATTGTTATTACATTGTTACTTATCAGGTTAAATATGTATATACATATCTTAGTAGGGTTGGTTCTGTTGATTTGTAAGCGAGTGTGGTTCGTAGTACAGTTTGCATATTTACTTGTTATTGATAGCATGGCGCCATGCAGCACGTCGTTTATAACTGCCTGCTCTGTTATTGGCGTTGCTTTTATGTCTTTCTATCTTGTCTTTACATAGTTTATATAGTGCCTTAACCAAGGTGCTTGATTTAGAACTAACAACGGTACATTTTAATGTAATGGTGATGAGGTAAATGACATATTAGGGGAAGCAATGGGCAAATATTTTATTCGTGAATTTGGTGAAAGTCAAATTGATGACAGTAAATTATGATGATGAATTGATTGAATGAATGGGGGAATGCGTGATAGCCATGTCTTGAGAATTTTGTCATGATAATTTTTAGAGACCCATCGCGGCTGTGGAGGTTCAGCCACCTACGATTTTCTCTAGTGTACAGTGTACAGTACTGTTTGCATGTGTAGTGACTGAATCGGAGATACTAGGAGTTGAAGGCACTCTGTTTATTAACATGCACCAATGGGCTACCACTTCCCTCAAATCCGTCTATAGTTGACTACGGTTCACAGTCAGGACAGTTGGTAGACTGCCTGATTGGCGACGTGGAGATGATGAAGACGAAGACATCCGAGAAGAACGGTGAAAACTTCAGTTCAGGGGACCGGCTTTTATACCGATTTCTGTCTCACTCCGCCCCTAGCCACTCCTCCCTTCTGGAACAGTCTGGAGGGGCCTCTTGGGGGTCTGGGGTCAGTACCCCTGGTCCCGAGCTACACTGGGGTTTACCTTGGCCTAACGGCCTCACTCATCTCCATCGGCGTCCCTTTGCCCCCTCTTTGCTCAAAGCTGTTACTACAGGCCATAAGTAGCAGCATTTACGCACAACGGTCAACGATGCCGCTACAGTGATATAAATACAGGGGCCTTAAGCCCACCAGTTCAGTTTATTTCCAGCTGCCTAAGTGGGTACATTTATGCATTTTTCTGAGATGGTATCAATAGGCTGCAAGCATCCAGCAGACGCATTTTTCTATGTCTGCAGCCAATTGATCAAGACAAGGGCGAAAATTACTCTTTGAAAACATCTGCTAAGATTTGTGAGGCCTGCAAGGCATATTTTGGCATGCCTGTCAGGGATAAAGACAAACCCTGGATACCTAATTTCACCTGCGAGCAATGCAAAAAAACACTGGCAGGTAAGATGGACAATTGTTGCTCTCAATTTTATGTTATAAAATTTGGTACAATTTTTTTAAATTGTAAACGTTTTAAATTTTAAAATGTTTCATAATTTTCAATTTTATTGAAAAAATATATCAGACAGAAAAATGTTGCGAGAATCTCTTACACATTAGTCATCGGTGAAATAAATGTTTTTATGTAGGATGGTACAGAGGGAAAAAGAGCCTTAAGTTCGCTATCCCAAGAATTTTGCAGGAACCCACTGACCATTAAAGCAATTGCTACTCCTGCATGGTGGACCCTTCCAAGCGTCGGAAGGGTCCACCATGCAGAGAGAGCAGCCGTCTTTAGAAGAGAGCAGCAAGTCAGAGAGCGAGGAAGACGTTGTAGATCCAGATGACAAATTCAGAGGTGGAGCTGAGGAGAGAAACCTATACTACCCCAACCAAAAAGACCTCAACGACTTGATCAGAGATCTTGGTCTCACCAAGTCCAATGCCGAGATCAGAGGAAGCGTCACCAACCTTTTTGCATCTTTTTCACCTGTCAAGATGGGCTCTGCTTCTGCCACAATGTGACCAGTCCGTTCGAGGCAATCGGAATCACCTGTAACCAGAATGAGTGGAGCCTCTTCATTGACA